TCACCCCCCCCCCCCCCGCCCCCCCCGGCTTGGAGCAAATGTTTACAGGCATCTGACCTTGGCTTTCCTGTCATTAAAACCCCTAGCCCAGCTTACAAACTTGCTGGGCTTCTCACTGGTATCTGTCCACTCCTAGTCCCTAACCGTGAAACAAGACTTGGGAGGATAAAGGCTGCCTCCCTTTTTCTGGTGATTTCATGAACATTTCTTTTTCTTTCTCTTCTCCCCTTTACTAGTATGAAGAAGGAAAAAAGCGAAGGAAGCCTAACTATAGTAGTGTGGACCTCTCTGAGGTGGAGTGGGAAGACCGAGATGATGTGGTGAGTGATTTGTTTTCAAGCCTCGTGGAAAAGGAGCTCCATTGTAATCACTTCTGTACCTGAGACTATCCCAGGAATTGGCCAAAGGCCCACCAGTGGGACACCTGGCCACCAGAGGGATGTGGAGACAATGGGCCTTTTTACTGTGTTTGAAGTTTTATGACCCTCCTGCCGGTCGGTTGGACCAGTTGCAGACAGGCTAGCCACCACCCTGCTTATGCAGCCTGCTAAAACCATCCCTTGGTGATCACCTCTGCAGCTGATTGATCCCCTCTGCAGCTGATTGATCCCCTCTGCAGCTGATTGATCCAGCCTCCTCCCCAGGGCACTTGCCAGGACCTGCCATCCTCAGCAGAGCACTCCTGGGCAGCAGAAGTCTCTGTATGATGCAATGTCAGGTGCCTGCAGGCCAAGGAGCCAGGTTCCTGGGCAGCAAGAATTCACCTGTCAGAACCCCATGGGCCAACTCTTGTTTTCAGAGAGTGGCCCAGGGTTTGCAGGCCCACTTTCCTCCTGCATGGTTGGCCGTTCATTTCCCATACCTTCCCAGCCCTTCCTGTTGCTCCAGCCTTGCTGCCCTAGCACCCATGCCTTTTCCCCACTCAGATTTAGTCTGTAGTACTCTTAACGAAAGCTTTCCCTGTGCCTACGACTTAACCCCATCAAGTCTTCTTGTTACTTCCTCAAGTAACTGAGATGGGAACACATGGACTATTTTTATTTAAATAGCAGCTTCCCAGGTGTTCCCATCTGGGTCCTTGCTCTTCACTCTGTCTTATGGTATCTCTGTGTCAAGGCCTGGTTTTTCTGCTCTACCCTCCCAGATCTGTCTGGGGTCCTTTCTTAAGTTTCATTGTTGAGTTAGCATTGTTTCCGTCTCTCACTCTGACCTGCTTTCCAAAGGGATGTTGAGGAGACCCATTTGAAAAACCATACTGGGTTCCTGTGCCTTCCAGACACCGGGCCAGCATCACAGCTGTCTTGCTGCAACTTTCCTTCTTTCTACATCCCCTGCTCCCTGCAAGGGTCTCAGCCAGCATAAATGTCTGATTTTCTTCCTCGCCTGTAAAACGCAAGAGCCATATCTGTTTTAGAAATTTAACCTCTTTCCTCTTTCATCTGGTCTCTTTAAACCCAAGTTCAGACAAAACAATTTTGCCATTTGATAAAAGCTACTTCCTTGTTCGCACTCTTTCCCCAAAGGCCAGTGGTCTAGCTTAGCATCAGTTCAATGACCTGGCAGAATTTTATATCATATTGTTCTTTGAACACTGTCATCAGGATCCTGTCAGTTCTTTGGGTTGTTCTGTACCTAATGTACCCACCCAACCTTAGCACCTTTGTGAGGCGTGCTGCTCAGGCCTCAGGCCACCAAGTTCAAATTCCATCTTCTTTGCTCTCTGGCTATTTCTCTTGACTGAGTGATTATGCTCCTCTACATCTCAGTTTTTTTTTCTTTTTTTTCTTTTTCCCAATAAAATGAGTATGATGGCAATACTCTTCCCTTATAGATCTGTTGTAAAGATTAATTGTATTAACGTACTGAGAGATATGAAAGTACTTACACCATTGTATGGACACAGTGGATGCTATATGCATGGCAGTCATTATTGGTGTTATTCTTATCACCATCAGTCCTCAGGTGAGTCTCTCATGAATAAATGTCCTGTGGATTTAGTTACCAACTTGACTCGTGAGTCTTTGGAGGAAACTTGCACTGTTGTCCTTCCTCTTTTGTCTTCACTGTATTTGTTGCTTTAGTTTTGGATCCTTATGTTTTCTTTCTCAGATGGCTTGAAGCATGTCATCAACAGGTTTCTTCGCCTTCCCATCTTTTGCTTTTAACTAATATGGAAGGCAGACTTGATAATGCTCTTCCTTACCTCAGAGTCCTCATGCTCCAGAAGCTCACCCTCTGCTACTGAATGCTAAACTGACATTCTTGCTTCTCCTTCGCATGCTGCTCCAAGAAGTTTCTTACAGGGCTCACTCCAGTGATCACCTGTGCCCTGGCTAATTTCCAGTGAGCTCATATCTCCTTTTACTAATCATGGATTGGAAATGTTTTTTATCTCTTTTTCCTATTTTCCTTTCCCATCAGAGCTGAAGACATTAGATTCCCAGCCTCATGCATGCGCTTAACCTTCATCTGACTTGGAGTCCTGAATTCTGGCTGCCCATCTTCAGAGTTAACACCAAGCAAGTCCAATGCTCTCATTTTGCACAAATTTGTCTCTGGTTGTTGCTTTGCTTTGCATCTCTTGTTGCCTTGGGAGTGCTATGGATTTGAAATGTGAATTCTTTCTCTATCAACATATTTGACTTGGGAAAACCCAAACCACTCGTTCTGTCCTGGAGATTCGCACCTCGTTGACTGACAAATTCTGGAATCTGCCACAAAGCATCTTTGTGAAGTATGCGTAAAATGTCTCATGCCCATATGTTGGCCTTTGGGGGTTTTCACTTAAGTAACAGAGGATAGATTTTAAGTCAAGATCTGGGAAAGACCCTGTAAGCAGAGCTGATGAGGAAGAAGCAGCAGAGTCTGCCTGGCTGCAGAGAACTTCTTGGAAGGAGAATCCTACTTCTTTAGGAAGTAGACTCCTGAGTTTAATGACCACATTTATAACATATACTCTTCATACTTCCAAAAATGATGGAAGTTTACATATACCGTTAAAACACACACAAAATAGACTGGCTCAAATTAAAATATGAAAAAAATAGAAAAACTTAAAATGATTTAGAGAAGTATGAACAGGACTTCTGTCCCAGTCTGCAGGATGAGTTCAGGCATCACAGCTATAATACAATGAGTAGGGCAGATCTTTGGGGGACCCATGAGCCAGCAGGGTAGCTTGGGACACACATAACCCAGTTTGGATCACCAGTGTAGTTGCCCACTGGGAAGAAAAACTTATTTTTTAAAATAGTGTTTTGGGTTATAAATTTCCAGCAATAGCTAAAGGAATTAAGTATGATTTTTATTTTGTTACCATTACCTTTGAGTCATTCCCAAGCTTTCCATAGTGAACATGATTATTTCTATAAATAGAAAAAACTCTTATAAATAGTAATAATGACCCTATATTAACTCTTCCTATGTGTCAGTAGTGTTCTAAATGCTATATATGATTGAACTCATTTATTTCTCACAATGGTCTTATGAATTAGATATTATTTTTATCTCTATTTTACAAGTAAGGAAACTGAGGCAAATAATTGATATAATGGTCCAAGGGCATACAGCCTGAATTCTGACTCAGGCAGCTGGATCCACAAAGCTATGCTCTTGGCACTTGGCTAATTCATACAAAGGGCCCTTAAATCCTTAATTACAAGGGTCTTTGGAAACTCTATGCCAGAATCTCAAAGTGTATGGGTTATCCTTCCTTGAGGGGTACAGAAATGACGGGGAGTTCCTTGCACATAGTAGCTGCTAAACAAACATTTGTCCACTTGGTATTGTTGAGAATACTGCCTCATTGATTCTATCTTGAATCCAACTGAACTCCCTCCTGTTGCAGTATAAGCCTTTTTTCTACTTTCCTCTCATCAACTCACATTTCATCTTTCCCTTGATGACTCTGATGGAAAATTTCCCAAGTCTTTTCTTCCCAAAACCCTATAAGGCTTTTTCTCCTGGGGTATATTTCTGAGACCTCTGACTGTTTAGTTTACTTTTCTTGACATCCTCTCCAGTATTTCTCCAGATCATGCTTGAGCCCCAAACCCCTAAACCTGGCAGAGCCCACCTTGAGAGCCCAGGCTAATGCATAGAATGAGAGAAACAGGATTTTGTTGTATAGACATTGTATAGATACTCTGTGACTGATGTATGCTGGCTGAAGCTTGCTTGGGAATGACAGCCCTGTTTATCCACAGCATCTCCTGTCAAACCTGCTAGCTTGTCAAGGGATGTGTCTCATTAGGGGCTTGGAAGTGCACGCTGCCTCTGCACTGAGAAAGGTGAAGCTCTTGTTCTAATGTGGACAGTGAACAACCCTTAGGACAATGAGCCATCCTTATATAATTATACACACAGCCTAAGGTGGCCAGTGAATCTTGGGGGAATGCTTCCTCAATGAGCTCTTACATGGAAGGTCAAAGCAGCAGGCTGATGGTGAATCAGGAAGCATGGCCCCCAGCTATAACATGGTTGGTAGGAAAGTGAGTGCTTTGAGCAGTCATTTCAGGAGCTTCAGCTTACAGAAGAGAGACAGATTCACCAGGGGAGCACATCTGAACTGGACAACACAGGGCCGAGAGCAAAAGAGGGTAGTTCCCTGAGACAGGAGGTCTATCACTCACCAGACTATTGTTTTCAGCTTGAGGAGGTTTTACCTTTTACTTTACTCACTGTTGTGCAGGCTGCTCTAATGTTCACTGCATTGTCACACTGGCAGATGCTCGATATCTAATAGGGAAAAATAAAGGCATGCCATTGATGGTTTAATTTGCTTTTCTTTGCCTATGTGTTAAGTTGAACAACTACACATGTGATTTTTAATGACTACATAATATGCTAACATATGGGCACACCAAAACTAGTTTAGAAATTTCCTTCTGCCAGGCTGCTTTCATTTTTCTAGTTGTTCACTGTTGTAAATCCAGGCAGTGGTGAGTTCAAAGGATATTTGGAGAGCTCCAGGCAGCACTGTGGTCTACTTCCTTCCTGCCCTAGGTGGGTACTGATAGCATTTCTGTTCCCCATCACCCTTGGCTGTGCTTTGGATTCCTTTGCCATCTTAAAACCTAGGGTTGCCACTGACTTTGTGATTCTGGACAAGTTGCTCCCCTTTCGGAACCCCAGTCTCCTCCAATAGAAAAGCAACATTTCTACAATGCTCCAACTTCACGATGCTGTATTCTCAGGGGGCGATCTATTAAAAAAATCACCAAACCCCCTTTCTTCCTCTGGCAAAGATGACAGAAAACCACCTTCCCATCAGTCCCAAATGACAGCACCTAGAGATTGTGGAAGAATCTACTGGGAGGTTAAAACCTCAGACTACTACACGGTCAATTTTTAAAACATTTTCTTGGATTAAAAAATTCAGATATAACAATACACTATTTTTATATTAATTCTATAGATATTTAATTTTGTCCAAGTGCTTTCTCTCCTGATTTGGGAAGTAGAGGTTAAGGGCATGGACTCAAGAGGCAGAAGCTGTGTTACCTTGGCCAAGTTTCTTACCTTTACAGCTCAGTTTCTTCACCTGTAAAATGGAGATAATCGTGGTATCTGAAAGATAATTCTAGAGTTTTAAAATCTGTGTCTGACACATAGCAAGAGCTCAGTAAACACTATTTGTCAATACTATCTCATCATAAAAATCTAATGAACACAGTTTTTACAGCACCTGACAGGGCCCTCAGGGTCTGGGAGTTCTCACTCAGCAATACTTTTGACAGAATGAATGAAAGAGGAAGAAACTGAGCCACAGAGAGGTCACAGAACAGCTGGTTTGTGTCAGTGGCAAAATGTGAACCTTAATATCCTAGGTTACCTCTCTTTATCCAGAGCTGTCTCCTTTTCAGTAGGTGCCCACCTGCAGGTGGTTAAGAACAGTAATTTTAAACCTGAGGAGTTGCGAGAGAGGTCACAACATCCATAAACAGCAAAGGAAAACAATGAAATCTACTGAAGTAGGAGATAGAGAGGGACATCATCAGAGCAAGATGTATTTCTCAGATGTCTCACAATCAAAAAAAGTTTGAAAAATATTGATTTAGAGCTTGGGCATCGTGTGAAGCAAACTAGAGTTTGAATCCTGATTCCTTAAGCTATTGAAAGGCATCGGACACCACATAAGAGTGAGGAAGATGATAATGAAGGTGAAGATGACAAAGATGCTGTTGACGATGGTGATGACGGTGGTGGAGGACATCTAACCTGTACTGAGAGCTTAGGATATATCAGGCACTAAATATTGACTTGTCTAATCTTCACTATAATTTAATGAGATAGGTGCTGTCATTCATTCCATTTTGCAGAAGAGACAACTGAGGCAGAGAGAAGGTAAGCGATTTGCCCAAGCTCATAAAGCTCTGGCTTCAGAGTCCATTTCTTAACTACAGTGCTATCCTGCCTCACAAGTAGGTGTTCCATAGGTATGATCAGTTTCCATTATTACTTAGGAAAAGGGCAGGACTAGAGGAGGCACTGGTGACCCTGGCCTTGGGCCCTCCTGGCCCCTGTGCCAATTGTTTTCTGCTACTGGGAGTTGGAGGTGAGGTGGCCCAGAGGCATGGAGAGGCTTACCTAATCTCTGACTTGCCTGGGGAATGTGCGAGGGAAGCTCCCAAATGGCTTTAGGCAGGCACTAGAAAGAGGAAAAATGAAAACCATGTTCAAGATAAATCAAGCCGTTCTTAAAAGTTAGAAAGTAGACTTAATTAGGACCAGCTCTCCCCATCCAAAACCACAAAAGTTAAAATGGGAAAATATTTCCAGAAATGCCCATTATGTGTTGTTAAAAAATATCTCGAGTAAAATATATGTTTTATTTTATACATGCCTCCAGCTAAAAATTATGCTTTTACTCTCTCACAGAAGATGGGAACACGAATCCAAATGTAGACAGTCCCGAATCAAATTTAGGTGGCCTGCTAGCGTTGCAGTTTTCTATCGGCCAGATCTTACTCAAACTCCTTGAAGGAAAAAAGAGGGGAAAGGATGAAAACCCAAGGCAGGGGCTGGGAAAGAGCCCTTCCTGACAGGCTGTGGCATGTCAGTGTTTGCTCCTATTCCATTAAATGGCCTTCCCTGTCTCTTTCATTGGTGCCCATGACGGCACATCTTTCATCGCCGTGTCTGCTGTCCTCCTCTGAACTCAGGGAGGGGCCACACGTAATTAGATGAGGTCAGCCAGGGATGGGGGAGGTAAGCCAGGCTCCCTGTTCCTAAATGGGACCTCCAAAAGTCAGATACCAGGTCGCCCCTGTTCACTGCCCCGTCAGCAAGGCCATTAGTTGGCCCAGATTTCTCAGAGCGTTTGAAGATGATTCATGTTATGAAAAGTTAATCCCTGTCTTCCAAATGGTTGATCTTTTTTTTTTTTCTTTTTAACTACTGTGTAGGAAAATGTCTTTAACTTGATTATGTTTTGAAAAATGATTTCTCCATGACAAATCAGTACCCTTTTTGAAAACGTAACTTGTCCCTGGCGATATTCTTGCTTCGTGAGTGTTTTAGTAGATTGCTGGGAGTTCATTCTCTGACTCAGGATTCATCAATATAGTACAGGCTTTTTTGTTGCTGTTGTCCTGGAGTTTGCATGCGCTCCCCAAATGGAAGTCAAAAGCCATTTATTTGTTGTTGTTAGTCTGGTGTCTTACACTGTACAAGAGCAGATGGGTGTTTTCTTCTGCAGAAACTCTGCTTTAGTGGTTTGAGTATAATAGGGAAACTCTGCTGCAAAGTCACCCAGACCTGCCCTATTTCTGCTTTGCACAAGCCACCAAGCCACCAAATGTTGCTCCAAACTGAGGGGCCAAGGTGTCCAGGTTCCCAGAGAAGAACTAACACACCAATTTTCTTTTATCATTTTAGTTAAGAAACGCTATGGTGAATCGAAAGACGGGGAAGTTTTCCATGGAGGTGAAGAAGACAGTGGACAAAGGGGTACATTTTTCTCAAACATTTTTTTGCTGCTTAATTTAAAACAAACCACTGTGAAAAATTAGCTTTGAAAGCTCTATCTGGAATAAATATCTTTCACTGAGATCATTTTTCTCTTGTCTTTACTTATCTCAAACAAGATTCATGTAGTACTGTTAACCTGATCATAGTGTGTCCATTTATTTTTATTTATTTCTGAAAATTCCACCTAGCAGACTAACCATGTTTTCTTTTCTCTACGACTTTTTTTTTTCAATCTAGAAACGGGTTTTGGTGATGACAAATGACTACTATTATACAGACATCAAGGGTACTCCTTTCAGGTAGAGCTGACCATAATACATGGACATTCCATCAGACCCATCAGTTGTGTTTGTACAAAACCTGCTGAAGCTCTCAGAGCTCATCATCTGAAGATAACCAAACACCCTGCCGAAAGGCTAGAAAGAGTGAGGAAGGGGCTTTTCCCAGGCTGTTTTTGTTTTTGTTTTCTAGAAGGGGGGAGATGGGTCAGGTGTACCTAAGAAAATTCACTCAATTTGCTATGGCTTTGCATCTCATTACCAAGCAGATAAGCTCTGGGGATTCCCACAAAGGGTGGAGATGAGTTCAGAGGGTTACCAGGGTCCTCAATCATCTAACTTGCTGCCTTGTGAGTTCCATTTTGCTTTTTATTTCCATGACCAAAAAATAGTCCTTCAAACATGGGGTAGCATAACCATCTCTCCATGTTGTGCTTCTGTTTCAACCTCTCTGAACTGTCCTCTGTGCTTGTCTACCTTTGAATCCTGTTGTTTCTCTTTGTAAACAGTCCTGAAAAAATGGCTTTGCCTCATTGCCTGCTTTCAGATGCGTATGTAGGATTCTAAAGTTTCCCACTTACTATTAATTTAGTGTTGCAAAAGATTATTTCAGGGCTGCTCCATGTTCCTGAACTGGTATCTCACAGAGCTAAGGAGAGAAAAAGTTGACTGAATATAGATTAATCTGAAAACTAAATTCTAGCATCATTGTCATGTATTGTCAAGGATCATGCGTGGATTCCATTTAGAACCAGGAGCGATCAAGGAACACAAGAGCCACTAAGTGGGTTTGCCAAATGAAGAGACTATGTTTTAAGAACATAGTGTCTTACTTTAGGCAAAAACAAAAAGAAACTTACATCAAGTCAGTGAGTGTGAAAACCCTATTAGTCTAGGGAAAGGATTGGGCAGAGAAGCCTGCAACAGCATAATGTGCCTGCAATCAAGTGGTAGTATAAATTTTTGTTTTTGCCCTTGAGAAAGGCTCAATTATCCCCAGTCCCAAACCCTAGGGACTGGAAAGACCCATCTCTGGCTGAATGTAGAGCAGAGGAGTGTAAAAAGCAGGGCGTGTGATCCTTGGAGGGCATCCGAGCAAAGGGCTTGCTGAAAGGACAAGCAGTTTGCCACAACTCTTTAAAACACACACACAAAAGCGGCCAATTGCTGCTGGCATTTCCAATCAGAAATTACTTTGAAGCAGCCGATTGAACCTAAGAAAAACCAACACCAACAATAATCAGTGGGGTTTTGAAAGTAAACTGTTGGAAAAATTGTTTACAGAACATGGAATGGAAATGTGAAAATGGAAAATAAAAAAATCTTAGCCCACAAGTCTATTCCAGTTGATGCCATGGATGTCAAGGTCTGCTTTGTCTCTCTGCACAGTTTAGGTGTGGCGCTCTCCAGGGGCCATGGGAAGTATTTCTTCCGAGGAAATGTAACCATCGAAGAAGGTAAGATGCCGCCGGGGTCCTCTCATCCTTTGCTGTGGGAAGAAAGCTCCAGAGCCAGCTATTAGGTTAAAGGAAGAACTTGTTTATCTGTTTAAAGTTCTGATCAATCCCTTGGGCATTTGACTCAAATCAATGCCCACTTGATATTACCTTTCTTGTCTGTCATACTTAGGTTTCAGAATGGTGGGAACCCCAACTAATGGTTAAGATTTAATTTACTTATATCCTCCTTTAATGCACAAAGTTGTTGAGGCAACTCATAGAATCATTCACCAAGTATACTGTTCTCCTGCATAAAAATTAGTATTGGGAGAAGTACAAATTAATGCAAAAACTCAAGTCCAGAGGAACACATAAAAACAAAGATATGGGAGCCTTTGTCTCCTACACAGTTGAGTCACAGGTTTCACAACAGCCCTGGTCCAAAGAGAAACATGACCATGTAAATGATTTACACAGGTTAGTAGGAATAAGTACCATCTTGAGGTTCCCAGATCCTCTTGTCTTCATAAAGCAAAGGTGCACAGTAAATTCCAAGTAAACAGAAGCCGTTGTTACAGCACTTTAAACTTTAAAATTGCAGTCACATGTGCTGTCCTTTTCATCACCCAATGACCCTTTATGTAGTCCAGAGAAATTACCTTTCCCAGTAACTTGAGCTCACAGATTAGAGTGGGTATGGTCTCTGAAGGGTGCTACTTTCTGAGTGGCCTTGAGTGAATCACTTGCCCAATCTGGATGTTAGGTTTTGCATATTCACAGGAAGGAGGTGGACTCTTTCTGGGAGTCCCCAGGGATGACAGCCAAGAACAGGAAGGTCAGTTATATGCCCAGTTTTAGTTGGTCAGAACTTTTTACAAATGAATGTGATGAACTTCCAGAAGATATGCCATCCATTCCTCATGTAGATGATGTAGCAGAAAATGAAGAATGAGATGCCGAGTCCCACAGACAGCCTTCTGGTTTATTGTTGGCTGTCCCTGCATTGTTTCATGGGTATTGTCTGTTGTCTCCCAAGTGATTGTAAGAGCCTGTGGAACAGAAAGTAGAGGGACTCACTCTGAACTGGGCAGGACTAGAGTGTTCCCACCACAGAGCTAACCCTGTGGTCTCTCTTCCCAGAGACAGGCCAGAGAAAGCAGGCACTTTGTGTCTTGGGCAAGATACTCTCCAGGATGTGTTCTCAGAAATCATGTTTTGACTTCTAGAATTTTCTGGCTTTATAGACCTTGTTGTCCCTGTGGATATCACTGCTTATGAAGCCAGAAAATTCATGTCTAAACCATCTGAGGTCAAGTTGAGAAAACAACTCATGGGCAGAACAATAACAGGAGAGGTTATGAGGGGATTACTTGTCTCTCGCATGTTTTTTCCTTTAGTCAATTCCCCATACATGAGCCTGTCTCTCCCTCCCTTTCTCTTTCCTCTCACCTCTCTGTCTGTCTCTCACATATATACAGTTGTTTTGCATTGTCTTTTGGATCATTTTTTAAGCCACTATCTTCCTCCTGTATGTTCCACAGCTGTTAGTCTGAGCAGTCACATAGAGCGAATTTCAGAACTAACTGTAACCACCATGCAAGAAATTAGTTTGAAGCCTCAGCAAGGGGGAGAGTGACTGGTTATCCACACAAATGAGGTCAGATCTTCCTCTCTCTGCTGGTCCTCTGTAAATAAAAGGACTTACAATTCTGCCAACTTTGCTGAGTAATAGAGCCTAAGTAAGCCACTTTCCCTCAGGCTAGCTAGTAGAGGGTCTTGTCATCTCTGAAAACCATGACATGATTATTGTTCTCTTCTGTTCTTGGAGAGAGAAGGAGTTCCTTGGAGTTGGCAATCACACTTCTGTAGGATCTTTAATATGAAATTCTTCCCTACAGAATGTAGGAAATTTCCACACACTTTGCCAATGCCAAAGACTACAAAGATGGTGAACTGGTAGATTTTGCTAAAAAATGTAAGGAGTCATTACTGAGGTTGAAAGTATGGGTTGTAGTTCTACCTGTTGAAATTGTTTCTCTTATGAATCTCCTTCAGCACTTTGTATCTTACATATGTACTGTACACAATAACTGTTCAATAAATTAGAGCTTGTGCCATTATTGTCAACAGTACCAATCATCAGTAGATGTGATTTTATCAGAAGTATCAAAATCAAAGGTGAGAGAATTAGAGGACAGTTTAATTCCCTTGATGCCCTAGGAACTCAGAAAAGAAGCAATGAGAAAGATCTTCCCTTCAGGGTCTCATCTATGGGTCATATGAAATATAGCCAGAATGGGTTTTTTGGATGAAGGTTGACTGGAACTACAACTAGAAAAATGAGTAGAATTGACATCCTTAAATAGATATGCTGGGAAGGTACAGTCCCATCTCAGGGCCTTTGCGAGTGTTAATTCTTTGCTCTGAGCACCCTCCCTATTATCTACATGACTTTCCTTAACCTCCTTCAGGTCTTTGCTTAAAAGTCACTTTCTGACATATACACGATGGAATACTGTGCAGCCATAAAAAAGAACAAAATCATGAATTTTGCAGCAACCTGGATGGAGCTAGAGTCTATAATACTAAGTGACCTCTCACAGAAACAAAGATCTGAGTACCACATATTCTCACTCATATAGTGGACCTTGATCATCCAATGTGCTACTATAAGAAAATAACTGACAGTGTTGGGAAACTATGGGGGGAGGGATGGGACTATTGGTAGTAAACATCTGTCTGGAGATGGGGAGACACAAGTTATCAACAAGGGGGCCTGAATGAATCATATCTGTATACATAACCCTTAACTGTACCCCACAATATCAAAATAAAAAATATCGATTAAAAAAAAAAGTCACTTTCTGAAATACAGAGTGGGCACGTGTGTATATGTGTGTGTGTGTGTGTGTGTGTGTGTGTGTGTGTGTGTGCACGCGCATGCATACATAATCCTCATTGCAAGTATATGTAATAGTTATATGCATCTTACTAAAAGAATACAGATGAAATTATAGGTAGTGACAGATGTTTAGCTTTCATTGTATGCCTTCCTATAATAGTTGAAAAATTTCATGCCACTTGCCTAGATTTAATTAAATTAAAATTAAATATATTTAAACAGATCCATGATATATATGTAATGTGTATATATATGTGTGTATATTTATATTTGTATATGCATACACACATGCATGCACATACACTCATGCATGCTTGCACACATGCAAATACACACACACACATACACACACACACACTTTTGTAAAGTATATATATTTGTATATGCATACACACATGCACTCATGCATGCTTGCACACATGCAAATACACACATACACACACACACACACACACACACACACACACACACACACTCTTTTATACTTCAGGTTAATGACATCACCTGAAGTCTATTAACTGCAGTTTTGTTTTCTGATCACTTCTTGATTGGGTTATTCACTTTAGTTCATTCAAAATGCTCTTCTACTTTCATGATTGGCTTGTTATATTACATTGGACCAATTAATTACCCTTTTTTTTTTTTTTTTTTTGAGTTGGAGTCTCACTCTGTCGCCCAGACTGGAGTGCAGTGGCCACTCCCGGACACTGCAGCCTCAACCTGCTGGGCTCCGGCAATCCTTCCGCCT